GGGGCGAACCTTCAAGTCCGCGCCCTGGCCAGGCTCGATCGAGAACACTCCGGGGAACTGTTCGTCGGGACACGCATCGAAGTCAGGGTGGGGTGTGCGCGCGCTCTCTCTCTCCCCCTCTCTCCCTCTCTTTCTCTCTCTCCCTCTCCCTCTCCCTCGCTCGCTCGCTCGCTCGCTCTCCCTCTCTCTCTCCCTCTCTCTCCCTCTCTCTCCCTCTCTCTCCCTCTCTCTCTCTCCCTCCCTCCCTCTACCTCCCCCTCTCCCATGAGATTGTCACCCTGGCCAGGCTCGATCGAGAACACTCCGGGGAACTGTTCGTCGGGACACGCATCGAAGTCAGGGTAACGTGTGTCGTGTGGTCGTGGGAACGCGTGGACGAGGTTCGGGATGCGGGAAAGGTTCCGAGCCCAGGGCGATTCTGTGGGGTTTGGTTGCGTAAGTGGGGGGGGGTGCACGCGGTAGATTCGAACGACTAACACGCCGCCCCGCGCCCGCTGTGAGTTTCCCTCCAGGTCGTGCCCGTACCAACTTTTCCGGGTTGCAAGAAAGCAGGAGCGGCGGGACCTCTAGCTCTGCCTCAGTTAATCTGCGCTCCTCATTAAACACATTTATATCAGGGCTCCGTACACACGCTCCAGTGATAATGTAGATGTATTCAATGAGGAGCCCAGATTAGCTGAGGTAGAGCTAGGACCTGCTTCAAAAAAAACACCAACCCTCACGGGAGGATCAAATCGTACATTTTAATTGTCGAATTTCAACTTACGGAGGGGTCGGATCCGACCCCTCCGTGAGGTGAAATCCGAAATCTAAAATTCACGATTTGCTCCTCCCGTGAGGGTTGGTGGTCCCAGCCGCTTAAAGTCGCCTAGGAACCCTCGCTCATAAGGAGGCGCACACCCCTAGAGCCCTACCGTACGCCAATACCCAGAGCCCTACCGTAGGTGCTATGGATTAGTCTGTGTGGGTGATTCAAGAAATCCCTGCGTAGTCCGCTGTGCGGGAAAGCGGCCTAAGCAGGGGCATAGTCAATACCGCAGCCTGAACTACCCCGATTTCAGTCTGTTGCCCCATCAAAGCGGCCTAAGCCGGGGCGGCGGTACCTGCTTCAGGAATCCCAGCAGCTTGAAGTCACCCAGGCGCCGCGTGGTATCAGGGTTGTACCTCTTGAGCCCCGAGAGGCCGCAGCACCCCCCGGAGGTTTAGCTCTGTCTCAGTCCATTTGGGCTCATCGATTTGGTGGGCCCGGGCTCTTTCCCGCTCCAAAGTTGGCGGATTTGTACCGCACATCCAGTACGTCAACTTGAGCATAGGTAGTCAACCCGATTGAGGCAGAGGGGTGGGATGACCTGCTTGAGGAATCCCAGCAGCTTGAAGTCACCCAGGCGCCGCGTGATCTCAGGGTTGTACCCCTTGAGCCCCGAGAGGCCGCAGCACCCCCCGTCTCGTTCCACCTAGGAAGGGTAGGGTAGGGTGGTGAGATAGCGGGAATGATTTGAGCACCCTCCGTCTCGCTTTACCTGGGTAGGGTAGGGTTTAGGGCAGGGTCGGGTGGTGAGAGGGTGGGGATGATTTGATTGGTGCAGCTAGTACAGAGAAAGCCCAGCGCTGTCTCCGTCTGATTCGGGCTCCCTAATACGGCGAGACCGGGCTCTTATCCACACCAAAGTTGACGGATTTGTACCACAAACTCCGGGTGTCAACTTGAGAATAGTCCGTCAACCCGAGTGCGGCAGCGCTGGAAAGCAGGGGCGCTCCACCTCGACGGCGATCAGCTGCACGATCGCGAGCGCGAGCGCCGGGGGAAACAACGCCGGCACGGCCGTGCGGGGGAGCGGGGGCGGGGCGGGGAGGCCCGGGGGTGGCGTCATCGTCCAGGGGTGGGCGGTTGGCGCCAGCGTTGTGTTGGAGAGGCCCGGATCTGCGGATCCCCGTGTCGTCAGCGGTTTGGGGGGAGGGTGCGAAGTGCTGGGTGGGGCCCCCTCCTGATGAGAGCTGGCCTGTTCAAGGGATAATCCAGAGATCGGGGGCGCCGGGAAAGGCTGAGCGAGGAACGCGTTCGTGACCGAGGCAGGGCGCTGGCCGACCGGGGGTGTCGAGGGCAGTAGGTAGGGCAGGGCAGGGCAGGGCAGGGTAGCGTAGGGCAGGGAAGGGCAGGGTGGGGTGGCTTATGGGGTCGGGCAGGGGCTAGGGAAGGGCAGGACTGGGTAGAAGACGAGGGTTCCGAACGCGCGTGACACAAACGCGAAGCTTGTGCCGGAGTTCCCGTTTCGAGCTTTCGCGGCGGTCGAAATCTCGACCCTTTTTCGGGTCGCCCTCCTGCAGATCTGAAATTCTTCGGTCCAGCAAATATGTTGACCATAAAATACATGTAGGGATGAAATGTCAAGGGTAGTACCACGGTAGGGACACGTCGGTTCAACAGCTGGTACAAAATAGACGCGTACGTAAAACCACATTTAAATAAACACATGGCTTCGTCCAGATTTGTGGAGGGAATATAAACAAGTGTAGAAGACAGGTTGATATCAAATCGGATCGGATCCGGTGTGACAATGACGCTCGTGGTCTAGCGGTTATGATGGGAGCTTCCCAAGCTCTTGACCCGAGTTCGACTCTCGGCGGGCGTATATCTTTTTGCTTCATGAGCCTTCCCTTTTTGCCTTTTTTGCTGGGAGAGGCTCGTAACTTTTTGGCTTAAATTGACTTTTCTCCGATAAATTGATTCTTATGTGAGCCCGAGCTCACAACCTTGGGGTCTCGTTTGGGGGGGGGTCCTTCATAACCTGTCCCCGAATTTGGGTAATTTCAACATTTTGGGGTGTTTTGAAAGCAAAAATGCTTTCTCTGCAGATCCCTTCTACGGAACCTAGGGAACGGCGTGTCGTTGGCATATGTTGGGAGAAATTAAAACCTAAAGGACCTAAAGGACACCCTCTGGGTGGTTCTGGGCTGCTACGAGCTCGTAGAGCCCTCACGTCTGGTCCCACCTTCCACCTGGCGTACAGCGGTCGTGTTCAACAATTTAGTAAACCTTTAAAAAAAAAAGGAAAGTGTCATTTTCCCCGTGGGCTAGGATCCTAGGATCCTACCGGTAGGTCAGGAGAAATGAAAACCTAAAGGACCTCAAGGACCACAACGCTTCGGCTCCCCTTTGTACTTGAGCCTCCCTCGAGGGGAAATCCTGTTGATGTATTTATAAGCTCAATCCCTCAGGTTTTGATACCAGACACGAACGAAACGACCCCTTGGGCTGTCTTTAACTACCGGAAGCTGTGAGTGATAAACCATGAACCATGTAAACCATAAAGCCTAGGATCCTACACCTTAAACCCTGAACCCTGATTACTGATTACTGAATTTATTAAAGAGGTTTCGCCGTTATTGCCTAACCCGTGCCTTAACCAGACTATGATCGGTCCATGTTATACCCCGCTCAGTCTATCTCCGAGGGATGCTCCCCGAAGATTGGCGCAGATGAAGTAAACGACGAAGAAGAGGGAGAGGTCTGATAGGTCCACAATGATCAACAGAACTACTGCTCCGGACACATCGATATAGACCTATCGTTCCGGGCGGTTCTTGAAAAGGGAGGAGTCGGATTGGTTAACCGATCCTCGGATCGGTTATTCAATCCAACTCAAGTCGGTTCCCTAAAGGCTCCTTTAGAGGCTCCTTCAGGGAGCCGACTCTTCCATCCGGCGACCTGTGGTTGAATTTACCCCGTGGTTATTCCG